TTTTCCATTGAATGGTCTTGACACCCTTGCTGAAAATCAGTTGACCGTAGACCCATGGTTTTTATTTTGGGGCTTATCAGTTCTATTCCATTGTCCTTCATTATACCAGTCTTGATTATCTTTACTTTGCCGTAAGTTTTGGGCAAGTGTGAGTCTACCTGTTTTGTTCTTCTCTTTCAAGATTATTTTGTTTGGGTCCCTTGCAATTCCATGTGACTTTTAGAATCAGTTGGTCACTTTCTACAAAGAAGCCAGCAGGGTCTTTGATAGGGACTGCATTATATATCTCTATGTCAATTTGGAGAGCACTGGTTTCTGATCAGTGAATATGGGATGTCTTTTATTACTTTCTTCTAATACTTTAATGGTTTAACTTTTATGTTTACATATTTTATTTTTCTGGAATGTATTTTTGTATGTGGTGAGTACAGTGTAGTGAATTATTTAATGTTTCTTCTACTCATAGTTCTGTAACTCCTACCAAACAACGTTTCTGCTCTGCTGGCTCTGGGAACGTGGGAGAAGATGCTGACAGGATAACATGATTCAGCTGTGGGTGTTAGCAGAGTTCATTGTAATTGTAAAAACTTGAAACGCTAGCATGGCTATAAAATGAGCTATCCCAGAAGCGGGAAGGAACAATCTCATTACCACCAGAGACGAAGACGACTCCGCAGTGGAGTGCTTCCTTTGGATCCCAAGGTTCCTGCATATTGAGCCTCCTTGACCCAGGGACAGAAAGTTATGACTGGAAGAGCTGCAGAGGAATGGCAACAGAACCAAGAGCTGAGCACAAGACAGAGCAGTGGGCTTCCCAACTCACAGAGCAAGTAAACCTGAGTGACCAGTAGCCTTGTTTGGTGACTGGGTGCCTCCAGGCATTTAATTGGGGGGGCTAGGTTTGCTGACCCATGGAGCGAGAGCTTGAGTATCTTCACGCTGAGATTTACGGTGGAGTGGTGTGTCCTGTGGGCACTTATCAGTAGCCCTAAAAAAGCTTTGTAACATTGGTCCGGCAGAGACAGAGGCCTGCTTTTGGGCATGGCTGAGGAAAGGCAGTCCTAACTTGAAGAACTGTGCCCAAACATTTCTGATCCTGAATAAACCCCGTAACTGTGATTAGGATGTCTGAATTCTATGTGGTCATTGCAACAGATTATTGAACCCAGCTGGGAAATAGTTGGGGTTGTGGGAGGAATGGTTGGTGATGTGTTCTTGCAGTGAGAAATTGAAATCTAAGGTTTTATTCAAATGGGTCTTGTCCCAACTCTAATTTCTTAAAGAATCCTCCCTTTTCCTAATAATTTGAATTGCTACCTTTAACGTATATAAAATTTTCATATATAAATCTTCATTTCTGAGTTCATTGTTGATCATTGTATATGTTCCTTTGCTTTGCTGTTAAGTGTCGTTGAGTCAGGTCCGACACATGATTTCCGAGGCGTAAGTCTTTGTGGGGGCAGAAAACCTCATCTTTCTCCTGTGCTCCTTTTTTCGGACCACATTATTTTAATTGTTGTAGCTTTATAGTATTTCTGAAGCTTGGTGAACTTCAGTTTCTCTCTTCCCCATTATTCCCCCCTTTCAAAGTTACCTTTGTTGTCTTTTTGCTGTTTACTCTTCTAGATCCCTTTTAGTACGTTTACTAAATTTATTGGTCTTCTAAATTCTCATGGTATTTTAACTGGCATGACAGATCAGGTTTTATTTTATTTTACTTTTTTACCAAAGTTTTCTGATCTTATTTTCCTCTCTTAAAGTTTAAAAGTACGGCCAATCTGCTCCGTAACTTTAATTATCGTGTGTATGTTTTGCTTCAGTATTTCATTTTACAAATTTTTGACTTGTGCTTCTAATACTGGTGTAGGCATAGATATGTTTATCTAGAATTGTCAGCAGCATTAAGATCATTTTAAAAACTAACAATGCTTTCTTCCTTACGAGGCTTTGTGGTGCATCCCTTTCCTACCTGGGATCGAGTTCATGGCACAGGTCTACCAATGACTTACATGATGTCCTTGTTGTTAGGTACCATGGAGTCGGTTCTGACTCATAGTGACCCTGCACAGGGGTTTCCGAGGCTGTAAATCTTTACGGGAGCAGAATGCCTCATCTTTCTCCTGTGCAACAGCTGGTAGTTTCGAACGACCAACCTTGTGGTTAACAGCCCGATTTGTAACCACTACGCTCCTTAAAATCACTGATTATTCTCCAGCTAACTGAATCCTTAAACAGGGGACTGTCTGGGGTGGGGGTGGGGTGAGGGGCACTGTGACATTAACTTCAATTGATAAGGCCTGCATCTTACATGAAAAAAATCAGTTACTCTTACAGCAGAGGGAAGTTTTACTTGATAACATTGGTGAGTCAGTAGTGTCTCAAAAACAATAAACAAAGGACCTAGTAAGTTGATTTCAGACTCAGTATGGTTATGATCCCTGTTGAAATAACAAAGATGCACTTCCGGTTGTGTTGCAGGATATAGGGCAAAAAATAAAATAATAATAGCTCTAACTGTGCTGGTCAAACAGTAATTGTAGTTTTGTGCACATATTCTGTGCCAGGAGCTAACCTAGGTTGTAGGATACAGAACTGGGAGACATAGCCCTCTTACCGTAGAGAACTACAAATAAACCATATAAGTCTTATGAAAATCTGGGAGAGGGTCATCTAATACCTAGACTGCAGTCTGAGGATAGCTTCTGGGGAGGAGGCACACACACAGCATACATGAGCTTTGAGATAGAACTGTGATACTCTGTAGTTACAGAACCTTGGACCAATTCTTGTTCCTTACTCAGTCTCAGTGTCTTCATGTGTAAGATGAAGTTATTAATAATCTGTTTCACACTTGTGTTACAAGCACTCATGCGATGGTTATGTGTATGGGAAGGAATCTCCTGGGGCCAGTCATAGCACAAGGCAGGGCAGTCAGTCAGTAAATGGTATGAAGTGTGTTCATGAGTTTGTTTTGAAGCACTAGTAGGAGTTAACTACCACTCGTATGTCAGTTTGTTGTACTGTGGTGACTTGTGTGTTGATGTGATGCTGGAAGCTGTTTTAAATACCAGCAGGGGCATCCATGATGGATAAGTTTCAGCAGTATTTCCAGACTAAAACAACGGAGAGGCGGGCTACTTCTGAAAGGTTATGAATAACAACTGAACACTGTCTGATAGAGTGTTGGAAGATGAACCCCTCAGATTGGCAGGCATCCAAAACATGACTGGGGAAGAGATTCCTGCTCAATGATGTACTTGAAGTACCATGGACTACCAGAAGAACAAATAAATGTGTGTTGTAAGAAGTATAGCCAGAATGTTCCTTAAAAGTGAGAACGATGAGACTTTGTCTCTCATACTTTGGACATGTTGTCAGGAAGGACCAGTCCTTGGAGAAGGACATCATGGCTTAGTAAAATGAGGGTCAGTGAAAGAGGAAGACCCTCACCAAGATGGATTGACACGGTTTCAGCAACACTGGGCTCAAAAATAACAATTGTGAGGAAGGAGCAAGACTGATCCATGTTTCATTCTATTGTGTGTAGGGTTGCTACAAGTTAGAACCAACTCGATGCCACCTAATAACAACCACCACAGTAGGAGTTGACCCAGCAGAGAAGGACATTACCCTTAGAAGGAGAGGTAGATGCCTAAGTGGGGTAGTTGAACTGACCTCTTTCTGGAAATGCAAATATTTAATCTGGTTGGGAGAGTAGGTAACTATGGGGAGTAGCTGAAAATGAAGTAAAAAAGGCAGAGGTTAATATCTTCAAATGGGTTTTTGTGTCTTGTTGAGGAATTTGAGAGACATTTGGGAAATGTAAACTGGAATCTTTGGAGGCATTTGCTGGATTTCCAAGGCTGTGAATCTTTATGGGAGCAGAAAGCCTCATCGTTCTCCCGGGACTGGTAGATTGAACTTCTCATTTTACGGTTAACAGCTCAGTTTATAATCCACTATGTTAACAGAGCTCAGAAAATGTATTTGAGGCAGGATATCCAGTGGTAATCATTCTTGAATGCACGTTGCAACCATCTGGAGAACTTGTAACAATCTGATGCTCCAGACCAGTTAGATCAGGAAGTCAGGGATCCAAGGTAGACAGCAGAGGTTTTTGTTTTATTGTTCCCCAGGTGATTACAGTGAACAGCCACAGCTGTGAACTGTTAAGCTCCAAGGTAACTTTATACAAGCCAGATTGATGACATTCCAAATTAAACAAGTGTTCCCAGGTAAATTTGATCTTGAATGGATGACCATTCCATGGTGAGCAGCAGCATACCTCACTAGTGTTGTTGTCCCCCTCTATATACCTATCTACCACTTGGTTGAGAATTGGGCCTTGAGGGTGAGTTCCATTCCAGACCTAAAGGGTGGCCAAGGTTTTTAGAGTTTTCTGTTCCACATTGTCTCCATTCTATCTGGGACCTTCTAATGTGACCCCAACAGAGCAATTGGCGGTGGTAGCCAATTCAGATGTGTTTCATTAATCCATTATACTAATTGATTCCAAGCATCTTCAATTTTCATTTTTCCATGTGGGGAGAGACCAGTAGTTGGACCCTAGATTGTTGCTCATGAGCTTTTAAGATCCCAGTCATTACTCACCAAAATAGGATGTAGAACATTGTCTTTGTGGATTATGTTAGACTCCATACATTTATTGTTCTATGATGTCTAATATAGATCTAACTTGATTTCAGTTAGTTGATAAAAGCTATGATCTTGTCTTAGGTGTTCTTTAGATATTTTCTTCCTCTGAAATCAGATACTACTTGAAAGCCCAGTAGTTAATTGTCAGATAGGAACTGTTTATTTTTATAGATTTCTTATCAATAGGATTAATACAACAGACAGTCATTAGTATGACTTTTCCATAAGGTTATTTTTTTAGAACTTGCTTCTTGGAATAATTGTAAATTATTTTTAGCAAAATGGAGTCATGTCTTTGGATGTGTAGATAGGCAGGACACTAATTTAGTGTTTTGATATCATTTCAGGTAACATTTCATTTGTTGCATTTCCAGCTTCCAGCACCAACTCACCAACAAAGATTATACCAAAAACCTTAGGACCAATAAATGTGAATGTTGGACCCCAAATGGTAAGAAATTTATCAAATCTCAGTGTTTGAAACTATGCTGGGTGGTGGTTTGCCGAGGAGTCAGTTGTGGCTCATAACAACCCTGCCTAGGGTTTCTAAGGCTGTAAATTTTTACGGGAGCAGAAAGCCTCAACTTTCTCTGGAGTAATAGCTGGTAGTTTGGAACGGCTTACCTTGAGGTTAACAGCCTGACTTATAACCACTGTACTACCAGAAGTCCTTTGAAACTGCTTAGGCAAGAATAAAGAATAATTTACTACATTAAGTTGTAGTAAAGATGTTATGTCTACTTTTCCAATTAATCTGTTATCCCTATCACTTCTATTAAAAATTTTGTTTTTACCTGAATCTATTAATAGTTAAGACTTGGAGGAGGGAAATGCATTGGGCTCCTCAATGTATAACTTTCATGTATTTGAATCTTTGGATTCTGGGTAGTCATTAAAGATAGTAACTATGTGAGGCTTTTATGCTTTTGGTTAACTTAATTAGGTTGATTTGAAATCTGGTATTTATACTCTCCTTTTTCTCTTTAAAAATCTGTACAATCATAAATTCTCATATAAATGTAATGTATGACCCAAGAGTTCTTATATATGGTGATAGTCGTTTGAAATTCTTTTTGTTAAAAAGCATTTGAGGGAAAAGCAACATTTTTTATTTTTATTTGTAGAAGTAGAAATAATGATTGAAAGAGAGAAAATATTTAACTGTCTTTTCAAGGTGCTAATTATGCCAGAGCTAGTGGCAACTAACAACAACAAAAGAAATATATAGAACTGTCAGAAAACCTTATTTATGGGGAAATAACTTTTACTGATATAGTATTACAATTAAAAAAAAAATCTATTTGGTGGGGCCATACCTATGAACTTGGATTAAATATTTTATTCAGATATTCAAGACAGGTGCTACTATTTTCCAAAACCAGTATATTCTAAGACCAGAAAACAAAGAACTATACTTAATGACTTCTTGGGGAAAAATTCAAGCAATACATTGGGACTGTGTAGAAAGTTAGGTGCCTTGATTAAGATGTTCTGTGCATGAATTGCTGAGAGCAACAGAAAATCAGAAATCAGGATGTTAAGGTATAATTTAGGTCATGCTAATAGAGTCCTGGTGTGGTGCTGTGGGACAAAGCACTGGACTGTAAGGTCATTTGAACCACAAGATAGGTGGTTGAAACTCACCAGCTGCTCCTTGGAAACCCTATTCAGGGCCTCTATGAGTCAGAACCGACTCAATGGTACTTTACAACAACAGTGGAGAATAGAAGAAAAGAGAAATCCTAATGAGGTAAAAGAGCAGGGTCACTATGAGAAGGTAATAAGAAAGTTGGGAAGACAGGAACATGGGTAAGAGAGGAGGATTGGAGACCATATGAATTTACAAGAATAACAGTTCTGAAAAATACTTTGCGTCAAGTCAGGTAATACATGACTGTCGTAGAGCTAGAAGGCCCTCAGAGTTGAAGAAATCAAGACACTGAGACTGTTGTGGTAGAAATCAGCCTGAGTGATGGCAAAGTTGACATGGGAAGACATTTTTGAATGGATCAGAAGTTTTTGAGGAATGTGTTACTTTGGCTTTCTATTAAATGTAGACATCTGTACAACTTAATTTACATATTCACCCAAACACTAAGCTTCTTAGCTTCTTACTTGTTTAAATTAGGAGCCACTCTAAAACTGTGTCTAATTTGAATCGTCTCAACTACCATTAGGGAGTCCTGTAGCGCTGTAGGTTAATGCGCTGGACTGCAAAGTTGGTTTGAACCGTAAAGCCAGCTGCTCCTCAAAAACCCTCTACAGGGTAACTGTGGGTCAGAACTAAATCTGTGGCACTTAACAACAACACCATTAGCAAAAGTACTTAAAACACTTAAGCAATAACTTTTTTGTTTTCATTTTCTCATCTATGAAGTAATGTTAAGTGTTGAGTCAGTTCCAACCCATAGCAACCCTGTATCGGGTTTTCAAGGAGCAGCTAGTGGGTTTGAACTATTGACCTTGTGGTTTGCAGCCCAATGCTGATCCTACAGTACCATACCAGGAGTTCTAGGATCTTTTGTTTTTGGTTTGGTTGGGGAAGGCATGTTAGTGCTGTGGAATATGTTAAATGCAAAGTTACTTAGACAAAAATACATATGTACATACTGGTCTTAGAGAGTTTTAAAAGGCGCTGTGGGTTCATGTGGTAGACTGCAAGTTGTTGAACTGCAAGGTAGGCGGTTCAAGCTTACCAGCTGTTCCTCGGAAACCCTATACAGGGTCGCTATGGGTCGGAATCAACTCGACAGCACTTAACAACAACAACGCACACTTTAAACATAGAATGCCATTTTCTTTGGCCAGTTGTGAAGTGCCATTGCGTTAGTTCTGACTCATAGCAACCCTGTAAAGAGTTTTCAAGGAGTAACTGGTGGGTTTGAACCACTGAACTTGCAGTTAACAGTTCAAAGCTTATCCTACAGCGCCAAACCAGGACCCCAAACTGTTAATTATTTGCAGGATCCAAACTAAAGATCTTCACAATTTACTGTCAATGTGTCAAGAATATAATCTAGCTCCAAGCCTCATAGAGATTTAAACTCATGTAAATGTTCCCATTTTGAGGTAGCTCAGGGTCTGTTTTCAAACAATTACTAATCATTTGCTTTGGTAGCCACTACCGAATATGCAAATGAAATGAGATACTTTAAGTCAGTATTTTGAAATGTGACCACATACATGCCCAAATCAAACAAAGCATACCCAGTATTGAGTCTGGTGGTGGTGGCTTTGTGTTGTGAATCATAGGAACACTGGGCTTCCGAGGCTGTAAATGTTTTCAGGAGCAGAAAGCCTCATCTTTCCCATACAGAGTACCTGAGAGATTAGAGCAACTGACCTTGGCAGTTAGCAGCCCAGCTCATAACCCATTGTGCTACCTGGGCTCCTTTCCTCATCAAACCAAACCTTCTGCCCTTGAGTTGAATCCAACTCACAGTGACCTCATGGGACAGAGAAGCACTGCTCCCCAGAGGGTTTCTAAGACTATAAATCATTACAGGAGCAGACACCCTTAATCTTTCCCATGGTGGGTTTGTACCATTGACCTTCTAGGTAACAGCCTGACACTTAACCCATTGTGCCACCAGGGTTCATCTAGTCCTTATAGTATTCCTCTACTTTGAAAGAGTATTGTCTATTTTTGTGATGCTGTTGGAGGTCAAATCAGAATTTCTCTGGGAAAAGTAACTTTTTTCATCCCAAAGGACTAATCTAGAAAGAAATTGTCAGTTTGAACTAATATGCATGTAAACCGTTACACAGCCATTTCTAAAAATAGTAGTAATTAATTGCAAATTTGAAAATCAGCAAAACAAGTCAAAAGGAGAGGAGATTTGGGGCTCGGCCTTAAACTAGCCAGCCCTAGGCCTTAATTTGTCTCCTTAGTTCTAAGGTGTTTTTATTGTTACTATTTGAACTGTTTATTGTGAATTGGGTGTAAGCTTCCATAACAAATCATTGTTTCATTCAGTAGTTCATGTACATTGTTTTTCATGTCATTGAAATCCCCACAATGTAACAGCACTTATAACACTTCCTTCCTGTGCTTCCTATTTTCATTCCTCTTTCTTTCCTACACCTTCTTGACTTCTGAACTTTGTCCTTATGCAGATGCTGCTCCTTTTATTTCAAATAGTTGATGATCTGAGTAGTGGTACTTCTCTAGTTAATTAATTGTTCACCTTTTAGACTTGTCTATTGTTTGAATGGAGTCCTGGTGTGGCTTTGTGGATGAGTGTGCTGGATTGCGAGATCTATTTGAACTACAAGGTAGGTGGTTCAAGCTCACTAGCTACTCCTTGGAAGCCCTATACATGGTCACTATGAGTTGGAACTGACTCAGTGGGACTTAACAACATAATAGTTGTTTGGATGAAAATGGAGCCACAGTAGTGAGTTCCGTTCCAAGCTTGAAGGGTAACTGAGGCCTGTGTCTATCAGACAAGTAATACTGGTCTTTTTTTATGATTTTTAGTTTTGTTCCTCATTTTTCTTCCACTCTACTGGGACCTTCTAACGTGATCTCTTTCAGAATGGTTGATAGTGGTAGCCAGGCTCCATCTAGTTCTCCTGGTCTCAGAGTCATTGAGGCTAAGGTGTGTGTGGTCCATTAGTCCAGTGGACTAATTGTCTTCATACATCCTTGATCTAATTTACTCTTGATTGCTCCAAACTGAAAGAGACCAACAGGTGCACCTTCTGAAGTGCTTTTTACAGTTCTAAGTTTTTGGAGCAGGAATCAGAATTTTCTTTTTGATCTCTAATTACTGTAGGACCCCAAGTGGTACCATTTCTAGATTCTCCTTTTCTTTTTTGAAGATTGCCCCCTACCCTCACTTCATCCTCAAATTCTTCTTCCAAATAGCTACATTATTTTTGTTTGTTTGATTAGAGGATTCTCAAAAAGAACCTTATCCATTTGTTTTGCTTCTTACAGTATTTTTCTCTAGCTGCTCTTTAAGCTTCACATGTCTCTTCAAAGTCAGTCCTATAATGGTAGCTAGAAATTTCAAAAGATCACAAGGAAGGGCAGATCTCAAATTGTATTCTGTGATTGTAGAAACTAATCTAGCACTAACTTGTATTCTGGGGTATTTTCCCTTTTCTTATAGCTATTTACCAGGATTTTGTACTTTAGTCAGATCCACTGGCCCTATTTAGTGTAGCAGATGGAAGTACTCAACAAAGATGATTTTCACATATGCAGCACAGAAACTCTGACAATGTTATCAGAATGCTGTCATTTTTGGAGATATAGAAATAGAGTCAAGAAGCTGGTCATCTAAAACTCCCTTTCATTGTCAACTGTATATTACCAGTTATTGTTAAGTTCCGTCGAGTCGATTCCGACCCATAGTGACCCTGTGTAGGGTTTCCGAGGAGCAGCTGGTGAGCTGGAACCACCGATCTTGCAGTTCAAACGACTTTGCAATCTGACGCATTAGC